ACTAGCTGTTACCCGCGACTTCGTCAGCGGAGGTTTTGCAAGCAAACCCCATTTACATCCAATATTTCAATAACCATAGTAATTGTTATATAACACCTACCGCTGAAGAGAATTGCCGAAAATCAAACGAACTATTTTCAATTTGATCAATTTTCTGGAACGTTTACAATCGTTCTATAATCGAACCAATGTGCAATAACAAATTCGAATTTAAAACGGTTCGAACATCTTTAAAATCGAAATATATAAAAATATTTATAACAATGTCTGAAATGTTATCAATTTAATACACTTAAGTACTTAATGAAGACTAAACGTTGTTGAAAACAAAAAATCGCATCTAAAATAGTACAGTAGAAGCCGTTCTTCCGGTTAAGCCTTAATCCTCTCCCTCTCCCCCCGCGTGGAAATTTCGAAAAATCCCTTCTTAGTGTGCGTTTTCATGACGTATCCTAACTGTATACCAAATTTCCAGTGACGTGCCGTCATTGGAAGCGGTAAATGCGCCACTTTTCTTGTATTTTCTAAAAAATAAATACGTATTAATTTTAATTATATGAAAATAATCGCACAATATTTTATTATAACCTCATTATGTATCTTATTACAAATTTCTATACTACACGTGAAAAAAAAGATAAGATCGCTATTGTATATTCGAATATCAGTGGCGGAGTGGAATCTCTGCATTGTTAGCATCCAAAAAGCCAGATTCGCGCACGCGCTTTACAGAGCACCAACGTCACCCAGTTTAGCCGGTGGAAGCCTACGACCTCGAGTGGATGCTACACGTATAACGCTTCCAATTCTATCCGGGACCGGTTCCGGGCTGTTAGCCGTCCGCCCGCTAGATATTTGGCCGGTTACGTGAATAACGAGTAGATTTATAACTTAACCCAACCGATAAGAATTTACTGGTATGTTTTTGTGATAGTTTTCTGTATACTTGACAGGAGTTTTAAAAAATCCGTTAAAATATTTTATATATTTATTTCGCTCTCCGATTTTATATTACTCACGGATTTCAATGTTAAATCGTTGATATTACGATTTCATATGTCCCATCTTTAAGGGGACGTAGAAAAAAAACGGTACAATTCTTGTATAATGTTAAAAAATTAACTGTTACTTTGACAGCATCATTTACAAATACAGTGGTACCTCAGGTTACGAACGCCCCAGCATACGAAATTTTCAGGATACGACATGAAATTCGAACATATTTTTGTTCCACGATACGAACAAAAACTCACCATACGACGTTACATTAGTTCGCATTTTTCATTTGTTTTTCTTACTACANCGTGTTAGAGTGAATCCGTGCTATAGAAGTGCCGTGTTATACAGGGTATTTAATTTTCTTTCTGTTGAGACCTAAATATCGATCAAAACACCAATTATACTGCATAATAAACAGGTAGTCTTCTCACTGAAATTGTAGTTTTTTTTTATTTTTTATTGTGGTGTAGGACCTACAAACACTTGTCTTTTTCTTTTACCCGCGACCCCCGTATAAGGCTTTGCGACCCCCTTGGGGGTCGCGACCCACAGGTTGAAAAACACTGATATAAAAAGTGGAACGTATCTACCGCGTTATAGGGGAGTCGACTGTATATAAAATATACAGTAATACCCAGACTTACGCTACCCCGACTTACGCGAACTCTGAGTTACGTGATTTTCAAATCTCGTCGATTCGTCTTTTGTTTGAGTGCCACGCAACCCTTGATTACTCACTCCCCCCACACTATTGTTCAGCTTACATGTTCGGATGTGTCGCGCGGAATCCACACATAGCTACAATTTATTTTGTGTTATTTATTTCTGTGTTTGTTATATCTACGGAGACTGGAGAGACTCTACTATATTATCCAAAGGAAGTAGAACTAATTTTTCTGCATCAAACAAGAAAAGAAAAATTTTATCTTTGGAATGTAAAGTTAACATCGGGTATGTTCGTAAAGTCGAACAAGTTAAGAGAAAATGAAGTCATCGTTATTCCTGTTTCGTTAGNCACGATACGAACAAAAACTCACCATACGACGTTACATTAGTTCGCATTTTTCATTTGTTTTTCTTACTACAGTTATTTTTTTTAATGTATTACTTGGCTTTAATTTGAGTATGTTTTTCGCGTTGGAACGAATTACAGTAGAACGTCGATTTTCCGAATCAATCGGGGACTGGGGTTGTTCGTATAACTGATATTTCGGATAACCAATTTATGTACGAAAAAATAGTTTAACGTATCCGATGTTGAAATTTTTCTTCGTTGCGTGTCACTTCGCGTTGAATTTTCGTCGATGTTAAGCCTAACAAAGACTATTGTATCGTTAAAAATTATTTTTTGATTTTGTACAAACAAAATAAATATTTTGAAAAATATAAAAACAATAAAAATTATACTTCAGATATTAATTTAGTATCAAAAACGTAAAATATTTCAGTAGTCTAAGACTTAGCCAAAGATTGAAGCGCCACAGTACTGACGAAAATTTAAATTTGCCGACTGGAATTCTTTCGGATGATTGACTTTCGAAAAATTGACGCTCTACTGTATATGTGACTGGTTTTACGTTAGTTTTATAGATGTAATTTCCTTATATCAATCAAAATAATGAAAACTTTTAAAAATCCAACAATACATTTATAATAAACAGATACGTTGATGTTATAATAATGAATTTTAAACAATGAATTCATCTATTTTCGCCGCCATGTTTGGAATTCTGAATTTACAAGGCGTATTTGAATATGTTTGCTATGTTGTCACATGTTTTCTGTATCTTCTCTTTCTCCTGAACATGATAGGTAAGAACTATTTGGCATATATCTGACATTAGTATTTAGTTCGACGACTTGATAATCTAGCGGTTAAGGGGTAGAGTACTCCCCTCTCGGCGTGGAAATTGTATTTGGATGGGTGGAAATCCCTAAGTACGTTTTGTGGGTGGCCCGTTTCTCATCGCCCATTGTGAGCCTGGCCGTAAAAAGTCTTTTGAGTTCACAGGAAGAACGAATTTAAAACAATTCAATATTTACTCATTTATTTTAATTACAGTTATAGCCAGAAGGGCAGACGAGAAGGAACGTCAGAATCCTGCACGTAACATTAATTTTAAGCCAGAAAAAAGATTATGGAAGCATAAATCAGCGACATTCAAGGCAGAATTGGAAGGAAATAACAAAATATATGCATTTGTAATTCAGCGATGGCATTTACGATCTGTGTATAGGAAGCGAATAATGGAACGTGTTTGTAGTGTTATAATTCAGAAGTGGTTCAAAACAACTGTAAATTTTAATAACTTATACAATTACTGCATAATGAAGAAAACAAATAGAATGTGTTTTAAAGGGAATGTCTGTTGCCTAACTTCGACTTCACGGATTGAAAATAATGGTAATAGAAGCAAGTACATGCGAAGAAGGAATCAAATGTACAATGTTAATAATGATAAATCAAATATTTTATTTCGAAATAGAAACATGGAGTGTAATGAGGATTCAGAACTTATGCCCATTATCTGTAGCAAACATGACCCGAAAGATTATCCCGTTTATTCCACAATTCCTTTTGATATATTTAAAAACAGATATTTAGTAGAAATTACTAATATACAATTTTCGTATCGCAAAATGAGTCTTTTCGAACATTTACACCAGCTAAAAGATATAAAAGTCCATCTGTTTAAGTTCGACATGACCCTATTTAAAACACTCTCTTGTATTATCAATTATCTAATTGAATTAAAGAAGAGAAATTCTAAATTTCAGACAGTTGAAGGGATAAATATTTTATATTGTTACTTAGTAGAAAAATATATTATCATGGGCATTTGTAAAGTAAAAAGATGGTACTTAATACATTTATTTAAAAAATCAATTCCTTCATTTTCGAAGCTTCAGAATAATCTTCTGACAATAGAAAAATGGTATACAAGTCAAGTTTTCCTTTATTTAATAGCTAAGAAAGAAGCGTCACGGCAAATAGAAATGTGGTATAAATTCAAATTTATACGTATGCCCAACCAAACTCCTATTAAAATATATGCTAATCGCTCTTATAAACTCAATACAATATTCGTCCAATGTATAAGAATNGGGCGAAGTCGCGGGTAACAGCTAGTTTACAATACAATTACTATAAAAATATTGTTTTTTAAATATTTCACGACGTTCTAAGTTATTATAAGTGCAAAGCGATTTTTTATTATTGCTTAATCGTAACGATTAAAGTGACCTTCATCCTCTGTATCACTCACTCCAATTTCATTAACAACGGATGAATTCATTTCTTCACTGCTATGATGCTTATTCCCGATTCCGGAAGAGACAACTGAACTAGAGATATCGGCTCCTATAGAGAACCTGAACATATTTTTGAGTGGAGCCATCCATGTGTAATGTCTTTTAACACAAGCTGAAGACACAGAAAAATAAAAGCATCTATTATGAATTTCTAACTTTATTAATTCTCAGGAATTAAACTTTTCGTTTTAATCGCAACGAAAGAGAAATATACATTTAAAACAATGATAAGACTCATTTTAATACGTAAATGAAATTTCATATACAGTATAACCTCGATTATCCGGACTAATTGGGGATGAAGGTAGTCCGGATAATAAAAAAATCGGATAATCGAAACAAACACTTTGTTTTTTAATGATAATACAACACGCTTTCTTTTCGATGACATATTGGTAATATTAAAAATAAATACTGTATTTAAATCGGAATCAAATTTTCAAGAAACAAATGTTCGTATTGAATTTGAACTACTATTGACCAGCGCTAACAGACTACCTATTGTTTAAAAGGCCCTCTGGTGGCGCAAGAAGGCGGATTTTATAAAATAAAAAGCGGTTGAAACTGCATTTTTATGAATAAAAATTTGACAAACTATTTATCGTTTTATGACGAGTAAAATTTTTTCGTCGCGTTCGCGGCTTTTAAGTAATGCGTAAACCTTCGAGGCGCGAGGCCTTTCGGACCGCGAGGCATAGGCAGTGGCCCATGTCGTCCATGCCTTACGCCGACCTTGGTCATAGAAATGATATAATTTGAATATAAATTATTTATAAATACGTATGTCAAGTTATATTTTTATTACGACGTAAAATATATTTAAGAGTTTACGACCACTGTGC